TCCTTGCGTTTGCCGGTCAAGCGCTTCTCCTACTGAGCCATCTCCCTGGCCCCTACAAGAAATATTTAAATTAAAACAGTTATCGCAGTAAAACACATGTAGCAATTAATTCCCCTCCAGGTACCCCTACACGAGCTGCAGACACACGTATCCCATCATGCTTTGCATTCTTTGCAGCAGTTCTGAAAGTCTGTTCTCTGATTGGCCTTTCCATGGCTGCCCCAATACTCTAAATTGATTCAGAACTTTTATTACAGCTTCTATGACATAGAAGCATTATGCTTTGTATTCATTGATGTTTTTCACCAAAACTGGCACTGTATAAATTCTAGCTTGTCTCCAAAGTCAAAATGATCTTGAAAAGTAACATTTTGTATCAGTTCAGAACATTGAGGCAACCACAACAGTGCAGCTAGAGACATTAATAAAAGAGGACTTCCGGAGCTTCAGAAATGGCACAAAAAAGAGCACAGCTACCTTCAAAGGAAGCAGGAGTAATCTGAGGGAGATTAATGACAGTGTTTCTTTTACTTTAATAAAAATTTTAAATTTAAGCATTCAGCATAATTTCCCATCACAGCTTCAATACGTCTGAATTTATTATAGGTCAGTTTTGAACTAATGCTACCCGGAGGGGGCTTTGCTGCATAGTTTTCCCTTGGAAAACAGTCAGAGTCACTGGATGTTGTTAAATCCTCAGGCCACGGGACTTGTGACTGCGGCAAGTGCAGATGTGACCTGGGATGGTCTGGGGACGCTTGCCAGTATCCAACCAACTGTAACCTCACGAAGAAAAAAAGCAACCAAATGTGCAAGAATTCTCAAGATCTCATCTGCTCCAATGCAGGTAAGAATCAGATCTTAGGAAAATTCTTAAGTGAAAGAAAGTTTGCTTTGTAATGGAAATATGTAGGTGAGAAGACAGGTTGAAATTCTAAGGGAGACTGCTTTTAAGGGTATTTTCAAAAATGAAATTCAGATCCATCAACAGGAGAAAAGCCATCATCCCGAGAGGCTGGCAAGTCTGACGCTCTCCAGCTGTTTCCAGCGCCTCCTCCAGGAGCACAGTATTCACAGCGACCAACACCCAGCAGTATTTTATGTAAATCCAGAGCAGTGATTTTTGAATGCAGCATTAAATCTTTTTAAAAGGACTTACATAACTGGCTTAATTATTCTGTCACAAATCAAGGTTCTTTTGAATTTATATCTTAGCACCAAATAGGACCAAATCATTTTAATTTGATAGAAGTTTCATACACACTGATATGAAACCCATTGAGGAATGCACAGTGATAGTGACTGAAGTATTCTGTCACTGTACTTATTGTGACCAAAACATTTTATGTTTCATAGGAATGATCTAAAGATAGTTCTTAGAAAATTATAGGATAGTTGTTAAAATTGATTAGTTAAACCATGTTAAAAAAAGTTGCAGTTTAGATTTCAATGGCCTTTAGCCATAATTAAGCATTCTTAATATTTGGGTATATGGAGACTTAAACCTAGCTTTTCTCAGCCATAACAGAACAGGAAAATCTCAAAAGGAAAGGAAGAAAATGTCAATGCTCACGTGTGATCTGCTTCTGTTGCCCCGGAAAGTTACCTGGAGAAGAAGGGGTTTTGAAATTTTGCAGAAGGGATCCTAATACAAATCCCAGTTTAAGAGACATTGTCCTCCTTGCCCAAGTCGAGCATTTGGCTGCCTGCACAATACCTTCCCTCAGAAGCTCCTGTTATTGGCATACACACACATACACATGCACATGCACACACACGCACATGCACACACACACACACACACACTTCACTTTTTTTTTTTTTTTTTTTTACAAAAACAGGGTGCTGCTAAGTAATAATTTTGCCCAAGCATGTCTCCAACTTATGATCTTCTTCTCGGCCTTCCAGAGTATTGGATTATAAATGTGCACAAACACACCCAACACACCAGTCTGATATTTCCATTATTTTAAATGAACAATAAAAAACAGAATCCTTTTAATAGATGATGCAACATACTTGGTAAAATATAAAACACAAACTGTCTGATTCTACCTGTTTTTAGTCACTGACACAGCACTTTCATGTAATCTGCCATCCAGTTCAGTTGTGTTAGTTGCCTCAAGAATGTCCTTTGAAACATTTTCTGTTCCTTAGAAGATCTAATCTAAGGTCAGTGCTAGGATTGTCTCTTCTTGCTTTCCTTTAATCTGGACCACTTCCATGGATTTTGTCTTTATGGCCCTGAAAATATTGAAGAACATTGTTCTCATCTTTCTTTTTTTTGTAAATAAAATGTCTCCTTACAACACCGGTATATTTACTCACTTGCTCAACCTTATACTCCATCTAAATTGCTTTTAGAATTTCTCCATACAATGGCAAATACCAAATCTACCAAGAAGACCAGGCTTTTTCTACTGTAATCATTTCTGAGTTAGGGCTTGTTATTCCATGCTATATTAATAAATTACCTGGGTTTCTTTGACCATCTTCCTTTTAGTCTGTTTATGGCATTTGCTTAACATACATTTGTTTATTTGTTTCATATAGCTTTCACATTTCATTTTTCTTATTTCCCATGATTCATTAATACATTTTATACTGTAAAAAATACAGAATGCCTCTGAAAGTCAAAACTATGCATGCAACTATGGTTCAGAGATTCATGACTCTCTTCTACCCTACTTACTCTCAGTTTTATAATTAATCAACTCTGTTGCTTTCTGCCTTATTGGTGCATAGATTTCTGTTTATAAACAAATAATGTGTATGTTATTTTTTTCTCTCTACCTCCTATGTAAAAGGTAGCACACCATATTTTTGTAGTCTGCCTGTGTTGTCTCCTTGAGTTCACTTCATATCAGCTCGGAAAAAGCCACCTCTTCTTTTTTTAAAAATCATAAAAATGAATTATATGCATGTGACATAAATATTCAATCAATCTTCTATGCTTGAGCATTTAAATATTCCAATATTTTTAAACTGCAATAGTAATATATAGGCAATCTGGCCTATCTATAGTTTCAATTTTTGAGGTGGCATATTTTCAAGGTAAATCATGAGGAGTAAACTTGCTGGGTTAGCTGGTAATTTCCTATTCAGTGCTATTCCCACTTCCACCTACCTGGTTCAGAACCCTCCACATTGATTTAGCCTATAGGTTCTCTGATCTTTTCTGGGTCACACTGTGGTCCTCTGGAAACATCTGGGGTCAGAAAGGCAACAGGGTCCACCGGAGGGGGGGGTGTAAGATGCAAGGGTAGAGTTAGATGAAGTGGGGATTGAGCAGTTGCAGAAGCTAACTCATAGGGGAGCCAGATAGGTGACAATGTGCAGAGTGACGTGAAGGTGCAGTGCCTTGACATAGGCTGTAGGCTGGTGTACAACTCCAATATGTCATCCTGGAAAGAGCCAGCTAATATATGGAGCATGCAAAACCCGAGCTAAAATAACCCAGTGTAAAGCAGAAGACCAATCCTAGAGAACGACTTAACTGGCAACCAAGAAAAATAAGCAGGATGACACAGCACGATCACAGGAGTCTGGCACTTCTGCCTGGGCTTCCATCTGCCATGTTTTGGAGGCTCAGTTGCGAACTGTGCTGGATAGGTGAGACAGGAAGCCTGCTATAAACTTCCCAACCAGCCAGGGGTGGTTTACATGTGTGGATGAGAGTAAGCCTGCCTTGGAGAGCAGACGCCGGAGAGGAACTGTAGAATTGGGAGGCAGTAGCCGTCCCTTGCCGTGGTTCACGGCTGGGGGACTTCTGGCTATGCAGCACTAGCGGAGTCACGCTCTTCTCTGGAGCCATAGCAGGTGCCCGGTGTTCCCCCAGGCCCTCTGGAGTCCTTAGCAGTGCTCTCGATCTCTGCCGTCTGCAGTCACGCTGCCTTTTCTCCAAAGTAAAGCCAGGATGTCTCTGTTCTTCAGTTTTCCATCTTCATTTGTTTGCTGGAATTTTATGCATGTATCTTATCCTAATTCAATAATTTATTCCTTCCCTGTTCCTTTCCTTCTTCACAGAACCAGATAAAATTTTACTCATGACAGAATTTGCTGTAGGTCAGACACAAGTTCTTATGTGTCATGTGTTTTCTGTACATGTATGAGTATATATTACAGTACATATAATAATACATTTAGAAAATATAACATGTAAATATAATGACTATAAACTCTGTAATATAGTTTTTATAATATATAAATATAGGTAGATTGATCTCTCTTTACAAGTGTTAAAGCTTGTGTCAAATGTCCCCCCAAAGCCCCGTGCGATCATAGGTGGGACTTTCTGAGGTGGCTGGATCTCGAGTATGTGGTGCTGGGATTAAGGATGTGATGCTGGGATTAATGCATCATGCAGTGCTAGGATTAAGGGTATGAGGGCTACCTGCTCGTAGGGATTGACTCTGAGGAATAGAAAGAAGGCTGCACTTGTCCTTGCCGTTTGTCACTCGCTGTTGTCTGCTTTGCTCCCTGGCTGCCTCCTGCCTGCTATGAACTACTTCACCTCTGCAACACCACCCTGCCTTGGAGACAGAGGAGCAGGAATGGAACCTGCTCCAAACTGTGGGCCAAAGAAGTCTTTCCTCTTTTAAATTTGTGTGTCTGGTATCTTGCCTCAGCAGTAAGAAAAGTAACTAAAACAGAGAGATAGATATTTTACTAAGTACATTTTTTTCCCTCTGGCCTATGACTTATTTAATTTTATTATACTATAATTCTATTATATCTTTCAAGTAACACAATAGATCATAAAATGCTTAACAGCTAAATACATGAGTGGTTATGAGACAGAACAAGTACATGTGAATGCATGAAAAGATGGGCAATACAGAGGAAACTTAGATGAGACACTGTGGCGGAAGCACTGGATTTCAAACAATGTTTTCTAAAGGAAAATCATCTTCAGAAACAAACCTGCATAAAATGAAGTTCGATATAAGCCAGATGCACAAAACTCTTCCCATGGTAGGAAACAACAAAGTCAAACACTGTAATAGTTGCTATTTATAGGTATTTCAAGAGAAAGCTCCCAACAGGTAATAGAAAATTGTAAGTGACCTGGGTGACAGAATTGTACAGAAGGCATGAAAGGAAGGTCATTGGCAGGGTCTTTAAATACAATCTGAGCATGGAAAAAATTTTTAGAATATGACTAACATATTCAGCATCTTAATGGGAGAAGAGCAAGAAATCAACAATTCTTGAAACTTTGCTGTGGGCTAGACCCTGCAATGTTTTAAGGAAGATGATTATGTGTTACATTTATCACTTGGTCCTCATTCTATGGATTCAAGACTGTTTGCAATTATGAAATCTGGTACTTGGAGATCAAATGTTTCTCACAAATGAGTAGTCAATGAACAGTAAATCTTGGATTTGACTACTAGTCTACCTTAATATGAACTATGTTCTTTCCAGTTCACAACATACCGCACAGCATAGCTACTTTCCCATTGTCCAGGCCAGTGTCATGTGTGGTTCCTCCTTATCCTGCACCCCTCACTCCAGTTGGCCACCAGATGTTGCACTCTTTCTCCTGTAGATATTCTCAAATGTGTTTCCTTCTCTCTGAACTTGCTGACACCATCTAACCAGCCTCATTTATCTTTCTCCTGCAGAGAATTATAACAGCCCCTTAACTCATCTCTGCACCCACTTTTGCCTAATCTGCCCAGGCAAGCTGGGTGTATGCACATACTGACCAGAGGATGCCTTGCTGAGACCACCACATGGGGATCTTGTTCTCAGATTTAACTTGTAAATATTAAGATGAACCAGAAGATACCTATGACTTCCTTTTTAGTTGTCTTTTTATAAAATGACACTTTTCACATTATTTCATATATTTCAAACATATTTGCTTGCTTCCATTGTTGCTTCCTTTCACCACTGAGCTTTTGCTGCTGTGCCTTATGGAACTGAATATCTTCACAATCTTACTTGTCTTGATAATATTTTCTGGAGTTTGGCTCTGAGTTCTTAGCTGCTTCCTTTGGGAATCTTGACCTCCAGATCTCAGCTAAATTCCCTTGCTGTGTGCTCCTGCAATACTTTGCACTTCTCTCTCTCTCTCTCTCTTTTTTATAACATTGATTTCTACTCATAGAGGGTCTCAGAAGAGGATTATCTTCATTTTTATATGATGATTGCTGTATCAATTAAGAATTGCAAAGCAAGTATTAAAAAAAAAACATTAGTGCAATATTCCCATCAATGAAATCACTCTTAGGCATTGTAATCAAACACTCTTGAATGGATATGTGGCTTATGGTAGACCAGATAGCACCATTGCCTGTGCATCACACTGAGTCAACTTTAGACTTTTTAAAGTCCCAGAAATCTTCAGAAGGGAACTCATTTGTTACCAAAAAAGAACAAAGGTACCACTTAATGCTGAGAATGTGAAAATAGCAGGGGTATTTAAACATTTACATTTATGCATTTGATAATGAATTTCCACAAATATTCATTATGGAAATCACATTTTTAAACATTGTGCAAACCACTGAATAAATACTGGTGAGGGAGATAAGCAAGATTGCATCCACTGTAAAGCTTGGAATTTTCTGCTTTAGCTCCTTTCAGACTCAGGTGTAATCAAATTATATTCATGCTTCAGTTGGAGGGATATGTATAAAGTAGCTCAGTACTTGAGGTCAAATTTACATTCATTATACTAGTAGAGGTCAATAGTAAAAGCTGGGTGATAGACAGCAATTGCCTCAGAATCTCAAAAAAGAATAGTTTATTTTCGACCTCATCATATGGATATACATAATTGAAATATTACACTGAGTTGAAATTTCTATGCTTTCGTAATGAACAGGAGAACGCTCCTTTATAATTGATGTGTGTATGACAAAGTCTTTTGTTTTCATGGCTTAGGTACATGCCTCTGTGGCAGGTGTAAATGCGATGACACGGGTGGAAACGGCCTCGTTTATGGTAAATTTTGTGAGTGTGACGACAGAGAGTGTGTAGATGATGAAACAGAAGAAATTTGTGGAGGTATGTATATCGACTGGAAACCCACAAGAGCAGCTGTTTCGTCACCCATTTAATTGTACTTTCATCTCTACAGAAGTTTCTGCGCTTGGACTCAAATTCACTTTGAACTTATGCTTATCAGGAAAACACTCCATCTATGGAGAGTTGGACCAGAGACTAGCACTTTTTAAATGTGAAACTGGGTTGTCCACAGAAGAGAGTCACATCATTTGACAACAGGCCAGCCATATAGCTTCGAAGCAGTCCTAGGGGGATGTCACTGTTTTTGCTCACCTTAGTCACTATGATTATCTTTTCTTTTTATGTCTTAATTTCATCTTCTTTTTAATCTATAAGCCTTGAAATAGCCAAATGTCCCATTAAGGCTATTGAAGTCTGATAGGATGATTATCTTAGTGTTTACCTCTTCTCTCTCTCTCTCTCTCTCTCTCTCTCTCTCTCTCTCTCTCTCTTTCTGTATTTGATACAGGGTCTTACTATGCAGCTCAGACATGTAGTGATCCTCCTATTTTCAGCCTCCTCAGTGCTGGGATTACAGGTATGCGCCACCATGCCCAGTCTTGGTGGCTGCCTCAGCATGCCTGGGGGCAGGGATAGTATGCAGGCATAGTATGGCATGTGGTGCTGGGGATTGGACCCCAGTCCCTACGCTTGCCTAAGCAGGTGCAGAGTCAGCTGAGCTCTCTCACCTGCCCTTCCCTGCCCTCTTCCTATGAGCTGCCATTCCTTAACTGAATTGTCTGTTGTATCGTGCTTATACCATTTGCTCCAGTGCCACAAACTTCAGTAAGATCTTTGCACCCATATGTCTCACAATATCCCTCCAGGGTAAGAGTTAATTTTATCCCCCACAGACAGATATGGAAACTGAGACTTGGAAAATTGGACAACTTACTCTGCCTCATTCTATCCATTAAGATAGACTTTGCATTCCAATTTGTCTGGTGCTAGAGACTGTTCTTGACACATCAACCACTCAGAATGAGAGGAGCTCTTCCTTACCACTTGTAAGTAAACTGCAAGCCTGTCCCAAGCTGGCGACCCTGACTCGCACAATGAAATGAAGGTAGACAGCAGTGAGAATCACTTGATTAGAATTTTTTTTCTCTGTATTTAAGCTTATGTTTTATTCCTGTTCCATAGGATGCCAGTCCATAAAATCCTATTCTGCCCTTGGAGAGGCATGATTTTCCTGTGATGATCAGGAGCAAACAGGGTCCAAAAGAAGCAGAGGCCCTGAGAAAGGGTGCTACCATCACCACTTCCCTTAGTTGACCGTGCCATTGCTGCTGTTCTTGCTGTTGCACCTTCCAGTTATTCTTGTTGTGGACTTGCTTTGTGCTTTCTCTCGAGGCTCCTGACTATGTGTCTACCTGAATCAAACGAAACACACATGGAAATCTTCTGTTCATTTGTCTAAGTCTGCGACCCAAGCTAAACACTTCTCAGGACATTCTCTTTAGGCTGTAGCTCAAAATAAAGTAATTGACAAATCCACCTTTTGGTGTTTCACCTCCAGTTATTACAAATCAAAAAATAAGAAAGAAACATGCTTTGTGGCTACTGTGTTCTGACACACACCACAAAAGCAATGTCAATTTGGATGTGCAAATATGAAAATTTAATTTGAAACATACAACGGGAAAATGCCTGACACCCATTTTATTTATTAGTCTCAATTATGTAGGCTTGGGTAATTTTATGGTGTAAAATCTCTGACTGTGGACACCAGTATTTACTAACATCCTCTGGGACTACACTGTCTTGCACTGAAGATTTTCCCATGTGACAGTCACAGGAAGCCAATGTGTGGAAAGATACTTCTTCAGTCCATTAGAGAGACGACAGTATGATGTTTTCCTCCTGTATCACTTTATACCAAATAAAAAGTTATGTTTATGGCCCTCTTTATTTACAAAAGCTTTGCTTCCATTTTTCCTTCTATGTATTTTTCTTCTTGTCCCTTCTTACCTCCCTAGCCCCTCCCTTGTTACTCTTTCTCATATGAACATATTCTTCCTGTTTCCCAGTATCTATTATATATTTTGGTTCTTTCAGACTGTCCCACTGGTGAAAAACCATGAAATATTTGCACTGTATGTCCAAGTTATTTCACTTAAGAGTTTAGTCTCCATTTGTCTAGAGATGTCTCAAGCTTGCCCTTCTTTATGGTAGAGTAGTACTCCAATACATAAAAACTCCCACAACGTTCTTATCCATTCATTGGCTGTTGGGCATTGGGGTTGTCTTCAAGATGTAGCTGCTATACACTGTGCTTCTGTATACATAAGTGTGCATAGATCACTGTCGTATCATGCTTTCCATTCTTTTATGAAGATGATAAGAAGGGGAATGGCTGAGTCAAGTGAAACCTCTAGTTTTAGTTTTTTGAGGAATCTCCACACTGATTTCTATAATGGTTGTACCAACAGTGAACAAGGCTCCCCCCCACACACCCACAGTCCCTTCAGCATTTATTATTATTGATTTCTTGATAATTGCCATTCTTTTTGGAGTGAAATTGAATCTCAATGCTTTTTAACTGACATCTTTTAGATGGCCAGTAATGTTGATCATTTTTTTCATATATTTATTTGTGTTTATAGTTATTCATCTGAGAAGTATCAATTCATTTCAAATGACCCTGGGAGTACTTCTTCCACTTCAATTTCATTAAAGAGTTTAAGGAGTGACACCATTAGATGTTTGCTAAATTTCTTATAGAATTTAGTAGTGAATCCCTCAAGGCCTAAACCTTTTTTGTCAGTAAATTTTTAATTACAACTTCAATTTCATGCACTGATATTCATTTAATTAAAATATTTTATATCTACTTGATTTAGTGTTTTCAGAGTATTGTATTACTCTTATACTGTGTGCTCCTTGTATGCAGCATATTGTTGAGTCTTACTTCTTAGTCCATTCTGCCAGTCTGTTTCTTTGATTGGTGAATTGAGGCCATTAACATTAATGGTTATTACTTACATATGTGGACTTACTCTTGTGATGCTATTTTTCTATTGTTGGTTTCCACTTTTCTCTCTCTGATTAATTACTTGCCTTGCCTGGTGGATTCGTCTGCTTTGGTGGAGCTGTAGTCCTTGTTATCTGTTTCTATAATGTCCTTCAGAATATTTTGGAGTCCTGACTTTGTGTTATGAATATTCTCAGGGTTTTTTTGTCATGGAAATGTTTTATCTTTCCATAAATTTTGAAAAGTAGTTTTGTGGGTTACATCAATCTGGGCTGGAGGTTATTTTCTCTTAGGGACTGAAATGCTTTCTTCAAGCTCCTCTGTACTTGAGGCCTTGTGTTGAGAAGTCTGCTGGGCTCTCCTCACAGGTAATTTGTTTCTTTTCTCTAGCTCTTTTTAACATTCTGTTCTTTTGTTGAATTTCTGGAATCTTGATTCTTATATGCTTTGGCTTAGATCTTTTTTGATCATGATAAATCATCTTCACATAAGGTTTATGGGTATCTGCTTAGATTTTTGTGACTGTATATATGTATAACTGTACTTGATTCTTTTTCTTCACCCTCATATCAATGATTGCTTAGGAAAGCCTTAATTAAGTACTTAATTTAATAAGTAAACAAAGATCTGCCTTGTAGAATATAAACATTTATGATCCTTACCCTTGTAATAC